GTTAGTGAAATCTAAGATGGCGCCTAAAAACCCAAAAATCGCCAAAAATTAATATAAATCGAGACTATGACTCAAAATTTTGATATTTACACTCTATAATTGACCTCCATTGCTTTAATTTGGTTACAAATTTCATATTCAGGTTTTCAGAAATAGAAAATCTAAAATGGCGGCTCGAATCGACTCAAAAATTTCATTAAAACAGAGAAAAATAGTGAAATTCAGGGGGAAATAGTCTCGGACGAATATATTCTTATGAATTTATCTGTAAATGTATGTTTTTGTTCTATACCTTGATTTTAATTTCATAAAATCATCATGGTGGATCAAAGGTGGCGCCTTCAACATAATAATCTTTGTTAATGTAGTAAATCAAGACTAGGCATCTTTTTTTTTTGTTTTGCTAACGTTTATTTGCAAAACTTTGATGTTTCCTGCTTTCCGGAAGCCATATTGAGCCGCTATTTTGAATTTTTTATAAAAGCAACACTAGCCCATGAAGAGGGTCTATTAACAAACATTTTAAGCTGAAGATCATTAAAATCCATTATCATGAATTTTGGATAGATCCTCGTTCCGTTTGATACGGAGTGTCCCATATATATATAACAGCAATGCCAAACTACTAGTCATGATTTCAAAAGCTGTGGTTTAATCTGCAATTAAATATTAATAACTTGAAACTTATTTCAGCCATAAATGAGCTTTATACTCATGATGACATTTATTCCACATGATAAAAGGTACTTGATCCTATAGTTTGAAACGATTTGACAAAAGCCTTTCTCTTTTCAGAGTTCTTAGATAAATAATTGTCCAATTTCAATCGCTCATTTTTGTTATAAAGTAACGTGTAAGTAAGAGTCTAGAACTTCCTAAATAAATACAATTTATCCTATTGGCGAAAAAAACTACCACCGCGGGCTAAGAGGCGCTTGTGTCGCTGAGACAACATGGCCGTCGATACCGTACATTGTGCAATGTATTTATATGTGAGTTTAGTGACCTTTTGTTATTAACAAAATACCGAGTAATCTGAACATGTTGTTGTTGCGTCTAGACGAGATTTGTGACTTTACGAAGGCCAAGCCATCATCACGCAATATGATTGAAGGCCAGAAAATCGTTAATTCCGGTATGATTTTTGTGTGTGGTGTAAGCTCTCGATCATCCGAGCAGATTAAGTTATACGCTCTGTGTCTACAGTCAAGTGCATTGTCATCGCCAAATCCTCACGTAATAAAGGGAACTTTATCTTTACGTAGAATGCAAAATTGTAGATTGGATGTTGATGATTCGGATGGGCTCGATGATGATCCTGTCAGTGTTAAAGTAATGAATTGCTCGTGCAAAGCCGTCACTAGTCACTCATGTAAGCACATAGTCAGAGTCTTGCTTTATTATAATAGGTAAGTAATTTTTTTCGCCGGAATTTTGATTTCTTATTATTGAGATAAAAAGTTAACAAATATTTTTACATATTCCAGAACAGACTTACATAGTTTACAATTGCTGTCACCTACTGATATGGAATGTTTATGGAATAAACATAAAAGACCATTTCTCGAACAGTTTGAAGCTCAACCTACCAAGTACTTTTGTTGTGTAAAGTCAAAGAGATTACCTGCATTGACAGAAAACGTTCAAAAGAGTATTAGAAGCAGGCTTATTGAGTGTGATGCAAGTACAGCACTTGCTAAGCATAGCTCTCGTACGTTGTCTAGTTCCAATGATAATGTGAATAAAAAAGCAGTATTTAATTATTCCGAAAATAACGTTAAGATAGTACACAATGAGGCTAGTCATTTCAAAGCACCCTCACGACGTCACCTTCAAGACATTACAAACAATAATTTTCACTTAGAACAAATAGCACTTGCTGGTGCTGAATCTGATAAGGTGGATTACACCAAGACTGTGATTGATAATGCCATGTGTTCAACTGAGTTAAATTGTATGGAAAATATAACTTATCAGTTGTCTGACTGTTGCAAAAACATTTATCAAAACAAAGTGACGTGTAAAGATATTTTAGAGACATCTATTGCTATAAGAAATAGTAAAAGCAAGTGGAAAAAGGAACGACAGTTCAGGATAACTGGTAGTAGGTGCTATAGTTTATATACGTATTCCAAAGATGATTGGCCAAAGAAGGCAGTAACGTATTTCTGGACCAAGGATTTCACAAATAAATATGTACGTCATGGCAATACATATGAAGGACCAGCAAGAAATCTATATTGCAAGAATACTAATTTGCATGTGCAAGAATGTGGTCTCATAATTTCAAAGACTGAGCCATGGCTGGCTTATTCACCTAATGGTGTAGTTATAAAAGATAACAAACCATATAAGTTATTGGAAATAAAATGTCCCTTTGAACTGGAAAATCTATGAAATGGTATTTTACTGAAAAAGCGTAAATTTTTGAAAATAACAGAAGGACAAGTCACTGTAATACAAAATCATCAGTATTATGCACAAGTCCAATTGGGAATGACTTTGTTAAATTTAAACACATGTGATTTCGTGATTTACTCTAGTATTTCTAATTCTATAAAGATTATTGAGATCGTTTATGATAAAATATATGTAGAGAATTGGTTATTGAAGTTGAAAAAAATTTATTTTGAAAAAATGTTGCATGAAATTTGCAAAAATTTGAAATGTTAATAATACGATTGTTCAAGAATGTAATTTATTTATTTTAAGTAAACTTGTATTAAATACATATTTTGAAACCAAATAGTGATACAAATTTATTTGCTATACAATGATTATAATAATTCTAATTCTACAATGATAATAATAATTATTATAATATTTTTTAATGTACAATTGAGATATTTTTCTTTTTAAAAAAACTTGTCATCAGCAATTATAGGAGAATCTAAATTAGCAAAACCACAGCAAATTATAAAAATATCATCAACATAATCGATCATATGCCAGGGAAATTTGTGATTTAATATTTGGAATAACTTTATACGTTGATTGACTCGTTCTATGTGCACTCTTGCACTAGCAATTTCTTTGTTGTCAATAGCTTCTTTCTCGGTAAATTGTTCTTTATTTTTTAAAAACGGTGGTTTTATCAAATCAATTTGCCTTTGCAGACATACATCAACAATAAGGAATCCTCTATCTATCATAACTGCATCTCTGGTGATCTCCATGCGATTTAGGGTTCCACTGTAATCAAAAATAGCCTTATCTGAAGATCTTCCACCAAATAATTCACTCACAAAAGTTATTAAACCAGCTGGTGTAACCTCAGTCATAAATTTGACAGTTAGATGGCTTTTATAATGAGAGTAAAATTTAAGTTTACATTTCAAACATTTGGGTGTCTGAATATGCACTTCAGTGCAGTCTAATACTGATATAGTCGATTTAAACTTTTCAAAACACAAAGGCATATTACGTTTTATTTCCTCCTTCGATACTTTACCAAGAACGCAGTGCAAAATTGTTGACAGTTTTTTTACTGTCTCGTAGAAGCAATTACTAATTGTAACTTCTGTCACTGCATTTTGCAAAACAGCTAATGCATGAATGATATATCTAATTTTAATTTTGCCATTGTCAAAATGATACTGTTCCGAGTACTTATCAAACTTTTTCTTTTTCTAGGATATGTCTCATCAATCAATTTAGTCAGTTCATCTAAGATCTTGAAACTTTTTATGTTGCACATGGTTTTCAAATTACTTTCAGTTTTTATATGTGATGATAGTGTGAGAATGAAATTATCGGTATTAACTTGTACACTTTTGTCTAACACGCTATTTTCTATAACCATCTTGTCTTGACTAACCGCTTCAGTGGGGTCTTGTGATTCACTTTGAATATTTAATAAATCAACTTGCTTTTGTAACTCTTCGCACCCATCATCGTGATATTCTGGCTCAACTACAACTACTTTTGAATTTTCTGGTGGAATAACAACTGCGTTCAGTACTTTGTCTATATTTGATGCATCAACAACAAACACTTCTTCGGTACTATCTTTCTCTTGAGGTGATTCATCGAGCATTCCAATATTTGTTGTACTTGTGGCTTTGTCAACTGATATAAATGATCTTGAGTCACAATTGTCTTTTTTTATACTTCTTCTAGCCTGCATAAAAATAACATTTATGATTTTGATTGTTGATACGTAATCAAGTTGGATAGCAAATTAAAACTATAATTATGATTATATACACACAGATGTTTCTGCTCTTTTAATATTTGCAGCTTCTCTTTGTTTACACTTTACTGATTGACTTCTAAGTGTTGGAAAAGCATTTTTTTTAGCACTCTACGTCCTATTTGAACCTCTGAAAATATAAAACTATTAGTTTTTCATAAAAAAATTCTATTTATAAAATTTTTTGTTATTGAGACCAAAACTAACCTGAAAAAAAATAATCTGTCGACTTGAAATGCTTAGAACAAACCAATAAATCTCCACTACAATCTTTTATACCGAAGTTTTTTAACCATACGGATCGTTTATCCACAGTCTCTGTTTTACCAAATCAATTTACGCGTTCAATTTGTACTCCACATTTTGGAACGGCATGGAAAGTCAAGTTTGTGTTTTTATTTGTAGTAGAGATACAACTTTTAGCACTACACTTATTTCTGCGTTGAGTTTTACGATTACAAGGGAAAAAATCCATTTTGATATTTTTACAATAACTAGCAATGTTTATTTTAAAGGCAAAAATTATTCATTTCTTACATACAACAACATTGACACTTGTACGGTATCGTCCGCCATGAATATTAGTTTCGCGAAAGGCCACCAGGTCTCGCATTGCAATTTTAAATTGCCAATATTGATTTATTTACGTAGGTATATGGTAATACTGTTTTGTAAATCAGAAAGAAGAAACGTCACTTGTAACATAATAACATGTTGTTTTTAAAAAATATTTTTGAATTTCACTATCAAATTTTAATATTATATTGTCTTTGATAGAAATTAGGAATTAATCTTTGCAATTGTATAGGCGTTTGTGGGGTTGGACTGGTGTAACTACACCACCAGAATCTCCTCCAGGTATATTGTTACGGGATTCCAGTCTTCAGTATGAGGATACAATCATCCCAGAGTTAGATATTTATGCAATTCCATGTTCAGAAAGTAAGTAAACTGTCACTTAATTTGAATAATAAATAATTCCACTCTGAATCAATTACAACTTCTCAGAATGGACATGTAATTTTATCCTTTATTTTTTGATCACCAGAGACGTCATCAAAAATGTCATCACGGATATTTTTTATTATTATGAAAAGAGGTATAGGGTACTTCGTAAAGCCCAGAGATACTAGTAGAAACCGCTTTTTCTCTATGTCTATAGTGATATATCATTAGATTTCTCTGAGTTCTACAATACTACTAAGAGAACAAGTACTTTTCTCAGAGTTACCTCAGGATTTAGAATTTCGAAAAATACACAGAAAGTGAAAAGGTGTTCCTTCTTCCTCACTACACTATTTAACCTGTTAACTATGGCCCTGTATTTTGTTAATGTAACATCGTATCCCGCACTGTCTTATTAATAATTCTAGGATTTTATTAACGTCGCGTTTATTCGTGTTTTGTTCATCTGTTGATATTTTTGTCCTTTAATTGGTTTTGGACCAACTACATCTCCGAGATTGTTCCTAGGTTATCTATCTTTACTGTTTTATTTTGCTGTAAATAACGTTACTACCCTCTTGGAATGAGATTTTCAATTTAATGCTATGGAAAAAGAGTAAAAATTCAGAGCAGCTGAGATTTACGAAGCCAATGATATGGTCTGCTCCTTTATGTCCAGAAAGCTGCTATTTTAGTATTTGAGATCAAAGGTTTTAAATCGAATAGACAAGTTAAAATTTGCTATGCAAACACCTCCTTAGTTGTAAGACCAAAAATAATTGAAGTCCTGGAAGAAAAAATGGATCAAATTTGAACCTATAAATGTGGTGGATGAATTTTCCGAAGAAGATGTAAATGATGACAGGGACGAGAAATATTTACCAAAAGGTGAGAAAAATACTCCTCAAATATTCAATCATGAAAAGTTGAATAATCTTATACGAAATTTTGGACTACCCAAGAGTAGGGCTTAATATTTAGGAGTACCATTGAAAAATAAAAGTTTGTTAAAAAAAGTCATATACGTAAATGTTTATCGTGATAGAGAAAAAGAGTTTCGAAAATATTTTACCAAAGATGAAGACGGCTCGTTATTTTTCTGTTCAAATATAAACGGGTTGATTGATGTATTAATATTTATAAGTAAGGATAGTGGATGGTTTTCATACATTCATCAAAATGAGATCTCAAAGTTGTTTTGCTCAATAATAATAAAATAATAAAATATATATGTACGTATTCCAATAGCACATTCAATAAAACACTAAGAGAGCTACAATAATTTACAAATAGTACTGGAGAAAATAAAATACTCCGAAACATCAATGGAAAATTTACAGTGATTTAAAAATTATAACCTTGATTCTGGGTCAACAATCGGATTTTATGAAAAATCCCTGTTTTATATGTTTGTGATATATTAAAAATAGGATAAATCACTATCTATCACTTTCAAAAAAGTGTTAATTACCGAAATTTGGTTGAAGATTTGTTGAAGAATTTCAAAAAGTTAGGTTGCTTGATTAGTTTAAAAAATGCACTTCCTACATTCACTGGTTGACTGTTTTTCTGAAAATCTTAGATATTACAGTACAGCAAAGAACAAGGAGAATAATTCGATCAAGTTATAAGTAAAATAGATAAGCGGTAGTAAGAAAGATAGAGTACGAGGGGGGGTCAATAAGTGTTTACAACATCCAAAAGATGGCGCTCGTCACGTTTAAATTATGATGTTTTTGGCAAGCAATACTACTAACTAGATATCGTACAAAGTTTCAGCTCGATTCATTAAGTTGTTTTTTTTGTGAGCGTTGGTTGAACAAAAAGTTATTGGTTTATTTGAAAAATGGAAAAAACAGAGTTTCAAGCGGTTATAAAATATTTTCATTTGAAAGGCTTTACACCAAAAGAAGTCACAGTTGAGTTGAACGCCGTTCATGGCAAGTCTGCCCCTGTGTTTAAGACTGTTTATAACTGGGTAAATGAATTTAAACGTGGTCATACAACAAGAAAAAATGAACCTCGTTCAGGACGCCCCGTAGAAGTGAGTACGCCCGAAATGGTCAACCAAAACCACGATATGGTGTTGAGTGATAGAAGATTAAAATTCCAAGAATTAGTTGAGGCCACAGGGGTATCAAAAGGTACAATCATTTCAATTTTGCATTAAAAATTGGGGATGAAAAAAATATCAGAAAGATGGGTGCCGCGTTTGCTCACTTTTGAAAACAAACGAACCGACGTAGTCACCTCTGAGGCTATTTTGGCACGCATACGTCGTAATCCGGAAGACTTTTGGCGTCGACTCGTAACTGTAGACGAAACATGGGAACTCCACTACACTCCTGAAACCAAAGAATGGATCCAAAGAAAGTCCAAACAATGGATTACCGCAGGAGAACCAGACCCAAAGAAGGCAAAGACAGTAAAGTTAGCTGGCAAGATTATGGCCACGATTTTCTGGGATGCGTATGGAATCATCTACATCAACTACTTGAAAAAGGGCCAGATGATCACTGGACAATATTATACGTCATTATTAGGTTAGCTGAAAGAAAAAATCAGAGAAAAACGTCCTCACTTAGACAAAAAAATATGCCTCTTTCTTCAAAACAATGCTCGAGTTCACACGTGTAAAGTTTCGATGGCAAAAATTAACGATTTAAAGTTCGAATTAATTGACCATCCACCATATTCGCCTGATTTGGCTTCCAGTGACTTTTTCTTATTTTCTAACCTCAAAAAATGGCTTGCCGGACAACGATTCACGTCAAATGAAGAAGTCATCGCCGAAACAAATGCCTATTTTGAGAGTTGTTAGAAATCATATTTTTCTGATGGATTAAAAAAACTGGAAGGCCGTTTAATAAAATGTATCGACCTTCAAGGAGATTACGTTAAAAAATAAAAAAAATTTACATCCCAAAACTTTTTTATCCTTCTTTTTGTAAAGACTTATTGATCTCCCCTCGTATTAACCTATTAAGGCCCACGCCAAAATTTTGTAAAATAGCATTAAACTAACTATGTCATTCATAGGCAAATCAAAAAATATACCCGTGTTTTTTTATCATTTGCAGTTAATTCTAAAAATGTATTATTTAAACAAATTACCTACAGTTATCGGTTTTTAAATCGCATTGTGTTAATTATTTCTGTAGGAAAAAGTATGAAAAAATGTATATAACATTTTTTTGTATAACTTTAATTCATTAGTGTAAATCGGCAATAAATAATAATTCCAACAGTCAAACTGCCTTCGCCAAATCCTAAGCAAAATTTACGTCCGATAGCACTGAAATAGCTATTTCATTAATAGGCAATTTAAAAAATATTTCCGTAGTTTTTTTGTCATTTACAATTGCTTTTAAAAATTATTTAAACAAATTACCTTAACCTTTTTATTGCGGCAATCGATTCTATGGGAAAAGTGCGGAAAACATTTTTATACCATTTTTTAAGACTTCAATTATTCATAACAAATCTATTTTTCCATCTAATGCACTCAATCATCAAGATGCATCACTTACTATCGGTTAAAAAATATTAGACCTCTTACTTTCGGAACATGCAACTCTGCAATAAAGTCGTATAGTGATATAAAAAAATAACGTTAAGCTTTTCGCTTTACGCGTAAATTGGTTTATCAGCGGTCGGTCTAGCTTAATTAGCAAAGTTATAAAAACGATCGGAAGATAAAAAACACGAAATTTTAAGCAATTTTTACGAGGTCAATTTCAGAAAACTATCGTTTTTATCTAAAAAGAATAGAACATTGTAAAAAATACTTTGCTTGTAGCTTAAAGCTTCTTCAATGCAATTGCTAAATAATTTGGAAAAAAAACATTTAGTTTATTTATAAAGTTCAATTTTTAAAAAAATTATTTTTCTAGTGACTTCTTCGATTGGTGTCGGACTTGGTACAAATTACACAGCTTCACAGGAAAAAAAATTGTTATTCGAAATACAAGCACATGATATCTATACATTTTCGAGGTCGCTGAATCCAATTTTGAAGTCCGTTTGATCTATTTAGCTCTAGTTTAAGGTCAAATCAAGGTCAAATTCAGAGAAAGCACTGCAAATAAAATATACTAGTATATTTACATGTTTTTGAAGTCACTAAATCCGAATCTGAGGTTCGTTTCACCCGATTAGCTGTGGTTAAGGGTTAGATCAAAGTCAAATTCAGAGTTCATTGCAAATGAAGTAGAAAAATATACCTACATCTTTTTGTGATCCATAATCACAATAATAAAACATCTTTCTTATTTAATTTTTTCTGCTATATGGCACTCATTTATCATAAAACGATCTTAGAAGTGGTTTTCTTTTGCGTTTCACGCCTATTTTCTCTACTTCTCTATTCAAGTTCTAGCAGAAATCTGCCATCATATTAACATTCCATCGTTCTTGATATCATCTTTCTATCTCTTTGATATCTTGGTGGAATTTCTCTTCTTGTTCTTCACTGTGAGCACCTAAGTTGATTGGGAAGTAGTCAACGAAACAATCAAGAAAATGTAATTTCAAGTTTATATTGCAGTTTAATGCTCCGAAATTTTTAACCATTTCAGCTACTATTTCTTTATAGTTTTAACTTTTTCTATTACCCAGGAAATCTGTTACAGATCTTTTAAAACTATTCCATGCAGCTTTTTCTTTATCATTCATATATTTAATAAAATCATCACCTCTGAGCATTTTTCTAATTGATGGACCATCAAAAATGCTTTCTTTCAATTTTGTTTCAAATAGTTTTGAAAATTGTTGTTTTAATTACTCGTAACATTTTTCTTCTTTTTCTTTATATAGAGCTTTAATTAATTACTTCATTAGGCCTAATTTAATATGTGGGGGTAAGAACAGTATTTTTTTAGAATCCACCAGAACTTTACGGATTACATTCTTCGAATTAATCTAAAGTGAAGTCCTTTGAGTTCACGACTATCTCACTCACGTAATAAACAAGAATACTAGGTATTTTTGTCTCTTCT